ACAGATTGTTAAAGGCTTAAGTGACGAACTAATTAGTGCTATTGTTATACGTGGGGTCAATGAACCTAATATAAAAGCTGCAGCTACAAATGAGAATCTGAAGCCGTGTGAATTAGTTAACTATTTTTCTACTTTTGTAAAACCAGTCGAGAATAAAAATGAAAAGCGCGCAAATCGAGGCTCTATTCACTCTAAAGAGGCTGTAAAACCATATTTTGCCAACCGCCTTACTCAAAAGTCTACGTTTAAATCTAAATGTTTTTCGTGTGGACAAACCGGTCATAAACAGATTAATTGTTATTCTAAACAAAAGCCTACCTCGACTAATAGTGACGTGACCGGAACAACTACAATCGGTAATGACGTAAAATCTGTAACTAAAACTATTTGCGCATATTGTAAAAAGACTGGACATCATATTAATGATTGTTTTGCTAAACAACGTTCTGATAACAGAAAAAGCAAAGTTAGTTTTTGTTTCGCACCCAACTTGAAAAACAATAAAGACGTTGTAGTAGGAGTAATTCTAGGAATTCCCGTTGATGTTTTGATTGATAGCGGTGCTTTAGATGTTTCTCTTATTGCATCTTCTGTAGTAAATCACTTGTCGTGTCCTATAAAAACCACATATCGAGAATTAAAAGGTGTAGGAAATACTATTACGCGAGTGTATTCATACGTTACCGTAGCCTTAGAGTTTAAAGAAATTACACTTGAAGTCGATTTATTGGTCGTACCCACTGAAAGTATGAATGCACCAATCATTATAGGTACAGACGTTCTTAATCGCGAAGGAGTAACGTACGTGCGCACTAAAGATTACCAGCGATTAACTTTTAGTGCTGTCCCTGCGAAAGTCTCGTCCATACAATCGAATGAGCATCCTGTCCAGACGTCACTTCTTCACGACGATAAGGCTAAACTTATTGAATTATTAAAAGAGTTTTCTAAGGTTATGATCACTGGTACCGCTACCTCAACTGTGACCACCGGTAGCATGCACATTCGTTTAAATAGTGATGCGCCTGTGTACTATAGGCCGTACAAGTTGTCTTTTAGTGAGAAATTAAGGGTCCGCGAAATAATTAAAGACCTATTAGCTAAAGGAATAATCCGTGAATCTGAATCCGCGTACGCGAGTCCTATACTTTTAATTAAAAAGAAAGACGGCACTGATCGTATGTGTGTTGATTTTCGCGCCTTAAATAAAATCACCGTTAAAGACAGATATCCTTTGCCTTTGATAGAAGATCATATAGACCGGTTAGGTAAGGGTAAATATTTCACGACTCTTGATATGGCCTCGGGGTTCCACCAGATTCGTCTTGATGATGCTTCGATTCCCTTGACAGGCTTTGTTACACCTGAAGGGCATTATGAATATATCAAAATGCCCTTTGGTCTTGCTAATGCACCTGTAGTCTTCCAGCGTATTATTAGCAATACTTTACGTTCGTTCATAAACAATGGCCGGGTGATGGTGTATATCGATGATGTTTTGTTGGTCAGTAATAGCGTTGATGAAGGATTACAACTATTGCGTGATGTTTTGCGTACGTTGTCCAATGCTGGCTTTTCGTTAAACATGAAAAAATGTTCATTTCTAGGTACGGAAATAGAGTATTTAGGGCGAGTAATAAGTGACGGAAAAGTACGACCTTCCAAGTCTAAAATCACCGCCTTGATAAATTCTCCCGTACCCGAAAACGTTCGTCAGGTCCGACAATTTTTAGGATTAGCGGGGTACTTTCGTAAGTACATAGAGAATTATGCTCTCAAAACATCGTGTATTGCACGTTTGACGAAAAAAGGCGTAGATTTCAAGTGGGGTGAAAACGAAGACCAAGCCCGTACTGATATCATCAAATGTTTAACGAGTGAACCTATTCTCTCTATCTTTGATCCTGAGTTAAACACAGAAGTGCATACTGATGCTAGCAGTCAAGGTTATGGTGCGGTACTACTCCAGATGGGTAAAGATGGTCGCAAAGTAGTAGTTGCATATTATAGTCGGGTCACACATGGAGCAGAGGTGCGATATCATTCTTACGAATTAGAAACGTTGGCGGTAGTTAAGGCGCTACGTCACTTTCGGCATTATCTCATTGGTATAGAATTCAAAGTTATTACAGATTGTAACGCACTAAAGGCCACCCAAAATAAAAAGGACCTACTGCCTCGTGTAGCTAGGTGGTGGGTATACCTACAAGATTTCACGTTCGTCATTGTTTATAGAAAGGGTGTGTTACTACCCCATGCGGATTACCTTAGTCGCAATCCCATCCGTATCGTAAATAACGTTGATAAACCGCGAAATTGGGCACAAGTAGCACAATCAGGTGATGAAGAAACGCAGAAATTGATAAGTTTGTTAGAGGAAGGGCAGTTAGATGCTAATCGGTACGTTCAAATCAATGATATTCTGTACTACCGGTATTCGCCGGTAGGAGAGCAGTCGCGGCTACTTTGTTTTATACCGAAAGGACACAGATTGAGCTTACTTAGAATCTTTCACGATGAAAATTGTCATATCGGTGTAGATAAAACTATTGGATTGATTTTAAATCACTTTTGGTTCCCTGGCCTCCATGCTTTTGTGAAAAAGTACATCGCACATTGTTTAGCTTGCATGGCTAGTAAGCGGATTCCTCGAGCACCATTACAGCCTATTACCTCTTGGAGAAAGCCGGGAGTTGCTTTTCATACCATTCATGTCGATGTCCTAGGTCCTCTACCAGAATCTAATGGTTACAAGCATATCCTTGTTCTTGTTGACTCTTTTTCTAAATACTGCCTTATTTACCCACTGTACAGACAAGATCATGATGAGCTAAAGAAAGCGTTTAAAAATGCTATCTCCTTGTTTGGCACTCCACACCTTATAGTTACCGATCGTGGTCGCATGTTTGAATCCGCAACCTTTGTGAAATGGGTTAACGATTTAGGTTGCTCCATTCACTACATTACTCCTGAGATGCATCATGCCAACGGTCAAGTGGAGCGATATGTACGTACTCTTCTCAATATGTTACGTGTTGAAACCTATAACAAGAAGAGTAAGTGGTCCGAAGAGTTGTGGCGTTTACAACTTGTGCTGAACGTTACAAAACAAAAAACTACTCAAGCGTCTCCACTCAACCTGCTGATCGGCATTGAAGGCACGACTCCTGTAATTAAAACTTTAGTCCGTGATGTCGCTTTAGATATCTCCAGCAGTGATCGCCGATCTTTGCGAGAATTGGACCGGCAGAGAGCAGCTGAACGCCTCAAGGATAATCAGATCCGTCAAGACGAGGACGTTAACAAAACACGCCGAGCACCTCACGTCTTCCAAAAAGACGACCTTGCTTTTGTCATAAAGTACACGCAGTCTAAGGGTAAATTAGATCCTGGGATGCGTGGACCTTATAGGGTCACAAGGGTCTTGGAGAACGGCCGATACGAATTGAAGCTTGTTGCTGGGGCTTACGGAAAGGTGACTTATGCTGCGGCGCAGTTCATGGTGCCCTGGAAGGGCGAATGGACTCCTGATGAGTGTGCTGCTTTCTTTGCACGTGAGTATTTGCTGTTGCGTCTAGCCTTGTTGAATAACTAGACCTTGTGTGATATGTCTAGCCTTGTTGGATAACTAGACCTTGTGTGATATGTCTAGTCTTGCCTGATAACTAGACCTTGCTTGTTATGTCTAGCGTTGCTTGAAAACCTAGACCTTGTGTGATATGTCTAGCGTTTCTTGAAACCCTAGACCTTGTGTGACATGTCTAGTCTTGCCTGATAACTAGACCTTGTGTGTTATGTCTAGCCTTGCTTGATATCTAGACCTTGTGTGATATGTCTAGCGTTGCTTGAAAACCTAGACCTTGTGTGATATGTCTAGTCTTGCCTGATAACTAGACCTTGTGTGTTATGTCTAGCCTTGCTTGATATCTAGACCTTGTGTGTTATGTCTAGTGTTGCTTGAAAACCTAAACCTTGTGTATTATGTCTAGTGTTGCTTGAAAACCTAGACCTTGTGTTATGTCTGGTCTTGCTTGAAAACCTAGACCTTGTGTGTTATGTCTGGTCTTGCTTGAAAACCTAGACCTTGTGTGTTATGTCTGGTCTTGCTTGAAAACCTAGACCTTGTGTGTTATATCTAGTCTTACTTGAAGACTAAACCTTGATTACTATGCGTAGTCTTGTCTAAGGATGAGACCTGCTCTTGCCTTGCATATGCCTGAACGTGATAGATCGTTTATAATCTCAAATGGACTATACACCATCTTTCACTCTTCCTGGGAATGGTAATCTTTCTATTGAACATCTGCTTACTGTTTTATATATATCGGGATGTGTTTTTATATGCGTAGATCCTTCGGATGTCACCACAACAGAGGTCCAGAGCACTCCAGCCTCCGATGATGAAGAAGTTGGAGCAAAAATACCTGCCGAGGACGCCAGGGTGTCAGGAGAGGCCGTGTAAGGAAACGTCGTCGGTTTGACGTTTGTAAAACTGTCAAATTCAATTGACAGATAAGACAAGCGACACTTCCGCCCACTTCCGCTTGGGACAGCATCGCGAACCGGCGCATCACTTATTCGTATCGTATAAAAACTCTTTTCTTTATTGTTAAATTGTGTGTAGCCAGAAATCAATAACAACAAATTATTGTGATTAAATTTAGTAACATTAAATTCATTAGTTTTCTGTAAAGGTTGTTTTATTTGTTTACAATATATATATCATTTAGAAAATATCATGAACTACTTTGATAACTATAAATAGTGGTCATTCATAATTGTTTTTCAGTTTTCTCTTCATAAAATGATCAATAGCTGTTTATTAAATATTTTAAGTGGGGCAACATCAAATTTTGTAGTTCGGACAGGTCCAGTTGCGTAATTGAAAAATATTAAATTGCGAATTGAAATAAATTCAATGAAATGCAACATTTTTAATTTTTTACTGATCCATCATTAAACTGATATTTATAAATATTACCTTAAAATATAAATAAAAAAAGTATTAAACGTCAAGCTTTCCGTTGTTGAACGACTTGTTTCATGTTTGGCATTTGGCTTTGGCAGTTTGAAAATTTATAAACGTTAAACGGTTGAATGTGAAAAGTATTTACTGTAAACAGTGAGAATAAACATTGAAAATACTATACTGAAACGAAATAGTTGTCCCAAAATATGTCTACCAGATCCGGAAAACGTAAGTTTTGGTAATTGTGTAAAAATAGATTTGTAATAGTATTTAAAGGTGATAAAAACAATTAAATGCACCTATTCGTGAATTACAGGGATTCACACTTCGTTGCTTGAAGACACAGCCGCAACAAAACGAGAACCTGCCGTAAAGAGTGAAAGAAAAACCCGGAGCAAACACATTAAAGAAGAATCAGAGGAACGAGAGGTTTCATTAATTAAAAAAAAGAAACGTAACAATTACGTGAGTTACCCTACTGACGATGAGTTACTCGGAGACACAACGACAAGTAAAGATGAGCCCAAAACTATCCGTATGTTACGTAAAAATGCTTTGAAAGAATTAAATCCAGTGGAAAACTGTGTTCACGAGCCAGAAACAGAAATAAAAAATCCTACTAGAAAGTCACGCCGTGGGAAAAAGCTGGACGATGCTGAAGAAAGTGAAAACCATGAAAATATACCAACTGAAAATATCAATGTGCCAAAATCAAAGAAAATTAAAAAGAAAAAAAAAGAAAGTGATGTTAATATAGTTCCCGAAGATGCACCTTCAAAGAAATCAAAGAAGAAGAAAAAGAAGGGAAAGAAATCTAATTCTATAACAGCGGAGAATGTGCCACAACATTTATACACTAAGAATGAGAGCAATATGTCTGTTGACTCGTTTCATAGTGCTGCTGGCAGCCCTAACCCAGAACATAATGATATTACAGCCTCCAACCAGAATAACAATACTTTTGAGAAGGAACAAACAAATAAGTCTTTTAAAAAAAATAAAAAAATCAGTAATGACCATGATAATACATTAGAAAACATATCAAAGCACAACATTAGTAGCAATATTACTGACAAAGATAATAAAAAAAAGAAGTCTGAGCCTAAGGAGATAGATCAAGGCAAACAAAGTATTTTCATGGCAAATTCAGAAAGAGATGATGGGGACATTTCAAATGTTAATAATGGACAGATGAAGACAAGAAGTTCCAATATTGTAACATCTGATGAGAGTAACATTTCAAGCAGTGCAGACGGTAAAAAAAATAATTCTTATACTAAATCCAAGAAAAATAAATCCAAATTGAAAAAAGCATCACATGTAGCAAATATTATTAAGGGTGATATGGGAAATGATAAGATGGATCATGACAATAACAGATCAATATTTAAGGATTTAAGTGAAACAAATGCTGAGACTAATTTAAATTCATCCAATATTTCCAATAGCCTCCGCAGATCTAGAAGATCCATTCTTATAGACAGCACACTTGAAAAAAGTGTCATATCAAATGCACAAGGCGAAACTAACAAGGAAACATGTTTGAATACTTCTAACAAACAATTACAGTCAAGAAAATATCCTGTGAGAGAATCCACTAGCAATACTTCTATTGTGAATGGTAGTAAAAGTGAGAAAGATGCAGCAGATGATATGAATATATCTAATGTATCAAGTAAACAGTTGAGAAGGAAATCAACTGTAAAAGACACAACGTTTGAAAAAGAATCAAGTACTGTGTGTGAAAATATAACAAATTCCACATTTGACAAGGGAGATAAACAGTTGGATGCAACATATGAAAAGGAGTCAGATGTAACATCAGCTATGAAAAAGGAAATTAAACAGAATGTTAACACAACATATGATAAACCCATTAACACAACATTTGACAAAGACAGCTCTGCTTCTTTTGATGCTTTTAAGAAAGGTGCAACAACCAGAAAGTCAAGTATCAAGGATAGCACTTTTGACAAAAGTAACATGTCTAGAATTAGTTTCACTAAGGAAGAGTTTGGTAAAGACAACATTGTAACCAGCTCTGCTACCAAGAGAACCTCCATCAGGAGACACACTTTTGATAAAAATAACAGTTTTACAGGTAATGCCATCAATACAACATATGAGAAAGCATCAAATACAGAAAGTCCATTGAAAAGAAAATCACCAAGGAGATCCAAATCTACAGATGTTCAGACCCAACTTAACACTACATTTGAGAAGGATAACACTGAGGCTGGTAATATGAATAGTAACTCTGAACCAAAGTCATCCCTAATAAGCTCAGACAACAGCAGTGTTGCAGACAAGTCCGAGATATCCCGCATCAGTATAACCAGTGATGAATCAGAGCACATGGAGAATATTGTCAACACCACTCCATTGTTGATAGAGAGCAGCATTGACGAGTCTCAGCTCTCCATGACTAAGGCAGAAAGTCCAAAACCACATACTCCATTGAAGAGAGAGGGAACATTCACCAAGGAGAGTCCTCAGAAACAAGATACTGAGTCAAGTACTCCAACTAAACGAAGGTCGTCAGTAGTGCCGGCAGCGGGTTGCACTCCCTACCATATAACTAAGAGTAATCAGAAGAAGAGCATGCTGAATGTGACTCGGTCTATTGAGAAGGGTGTCCGAGCCTCAGTAGAGCCGGCTCCCAGGCTGACCAGGGTCATGTTCTGCAGTCCTGTGGACAATCCTGTGCTCATTGCCCAGGAAAGGAAGAAGATTATAAAGTCGAACCTTAAGGGGTCCAACAAGAGCTTTGTGTATGAAGAGAGTGGTAAGTTAACATGATACAATATGTTAATTAACACACAACTATAGAACATTTAATATGGTTAATCAAAATGCTGTGTTTCCAGCGTCGAGTTCCCGCGCGGGCCGCAAGCGGTCGTACACTCAGAACGACGCGGACGAAACGCGAGTGAAGCGCTCGCGCCTCACCGAGGACCTACAACAGTCGGTGGACCGGCTGTCCAGGCCCAGGACCGTTAGCGCCACAGGTAACTACTGCATTCATACTTATAAATTACTGTAATATGGTAGTTTCCAACTAGTCAAATTCAATAATTTTATCCTCATGTCTAAAACGATAGGTACTCTTCTATGAAGTTTTTATAAAACTTCAAATTATGACGTCATACTTAGTATTTTTGAGTCGTATATCTCAATTCTTAAAAGTGCCACCGACTCGCCCACCGAGTTCAACGTGAGGCCGCTATCCCACTAGGTGTCTGACTAGCGTTGACGTCAACGTTGTGTTTGCGCAGCTTCGACGCCGCGCTGACGCGACGTTACCGCCGCGTCCGGTGGCAAGCATTAACATTCGCAGGATAGCGGCCTAATATGTACGAGAAATGTAGGCGGTATCCGAGATATTATTGTGAAAACCGTAGTGATGAAGAAAGTGTTAACGAATTAATTTGCTTTGACTTAGGAAACTACCCAATTGTTAAGTAGGGAGCTTCAAGACTGCGTGATTTGCGAGCTCGACAGCAGAGCGAGGGATATAATTATTATCTACACTTCTATCTATCCCTTCAGTGAATAAATAGCGTGTTGACATTTAACATGACATATTCACATCTCTCAGAGATCATGAGAAAGTAGAAGTCTATATCACGTATGTAATATCTCCGACAATATCTTGAATATTTCCATAACAATACTGGAATTGTGTGCTTGTCAGATAAGCGCCTGCATTTATACCGAGAGCAAGGCGCATTGAGGAATATATTGCTATTTATTGTGGTTAAAAACCAATGCTTGTTGAAGATATGTAAATATTAACTTTGATTGGCCAGTATTATTTAATAAATCCCATATAAAGAGGGTGAACCTTACCTACAGCCGGCACAATTCCGATAAAACCTTAAAAGTCCAACAAGATCCGAGTGTTAATTATTATGTTTTCTCTTTCTTTTCTATACTCGACTAGTTTCTGTGGTTGATTATCTCGTCAATTTATTACGTGAGTAAGCCGAAAAACATAATAATTAATTTAGAATGTTTCACGAAAGTTATAATAAAAAGAACCGAGAGGTCGGGAAGCTCAGCACGCATACTTCCAGCCACTAAACCAAAGAGTCTAGTTAGTAGTCTAATTAGTTTAAAAGGTGTTATCTTAAATATATACAATTAAGCTGCCGAGGCTTCTCAGGACGTAAGTCGGAGATGTTTGTGATGGAATAAACCTAGCTCTTCCTAGATAATTTTTTTTCTTTGTCTTATGAAGTATAAATTGTATTAAAAAGAAATCTCTTTTTTTTTTAATGTAAGCAATAGGTTGGTAAAAGAGCAGACGGATTACCTGATGGTAAGTAATCAGCACCGCCCATGGACAATGGAGGAGTTACGAGTGCGTTGCCGACCTTTTAGGGATTAGGGATTTGAAGATTTAGCGACTGGGGAAAGAGAAGGATTGGACCTCCGGTAACTTCACTCACACGGCAAAACACAACGCTGTGGTGGTTTCACGCCGGTTTTCTGTGAGGCCGTGGTATCGCTCCATTCGTGCCGAATCAGTCTTTGAGAACTATAGTCCCTAAGATTTCTGAAGTTTTTCTTAACAATGTAATCTGTAATACTATTCTTTATTGATGGTAAACTAGTTCGTCAGCAACTATGACGATAGTTGTTACTTACAAGTATTGGGTCTCAAGTCTCAAACTATTTCAGACTTAGGTACAATATAAGGAAATCCAAGAAGTTAATAATTAATCGCTAGTTTGTTCACCGAGTTGTCGAAAGCTCGATTTCTGAACAAAGATTCGTTCAGTAATCGGCAAATAACAAGTCAAAGGGAAACAAGCTCGCTTAAAAAATACTCGGCCTCAATTATGGGTAAGATACTAAACGGACGAATATTATATAATATGTATTTGTCCCCTGTATATATAGTGCAGCCCTCCGCACAAGTCGGTAACGTAATCGTAACTCCTATGGCGTAGCGGGAGTCCATGACCGGACTTTATATTTTTTTAATGAAATTATCCTCACACTAAGATTTCTTAGGTGCGTTTACAAACATGCAAATTTACATACACAAACCACTCGGACCCGAAACAACAATTAGTGCATCACACAGTGTTTTTATGCGGGAATCGAACCCGCGACACGCTGTCCCACCCACTGTGCCAACCGTGCATTCAAAACCGTTATCCGAAATCTTGGAAAAACGGAAAACCGACCTATTAATAAAACACGTCATCTATTAAATATTACTATTTTATTTCTTTAGCATATATTACATTATAGTATATGGTACTCAGACGTGCCATGTTGAATTAGTCACATCAGATATCGCGCAGTATCAGCGCTACGTCGTCGCTTATCACGCTACCTCCGCTACTTAGCACCTACTGATAACGCCTAGCACTAATATTGTAATTACACTTTTATTGTTATAACTGTATTTCTACCTTCATGCAACTCAGGGCTCGGAAACCTTGCGTTGGTATATATTTATGTGATGTGCTTCCTAGTATCAAAGGGCATTACTGTTATACCATATGGCCTTAGGTTTAGTGTATAGGTACCATTTCGACCATCACATCACAGCACATCATCAGACTATAAGTGCCCACTGCTGAGCAAAGCCCTCGTCACACGGAAAAAGTTTGAAAATTAATCCCTACGCTTGCTCAAGGCGGGTTGGCGATTTCAAACTTATAATTAGAAATTATAAGTCTAGGTTTCCTCACGATGTTCTCCTCCACCGGTTGTCAGTGATGTCTAAAAATCATAGAAAGTACATAGAACTTAGAAAAAGTCACATTGGTACATGCCAGGTTTCGAACCCTAATGCATTTTGACAATAGTCTTGCATTTTGGTCCTTATCAAGTAAAAAAAAGACTATTTAAAAAAATAAAACGTTGCCCCATTCTAGTATTTTCTCCTGTGGCGTGTTTGCGGTTACAAACATACAATTTCACATACACGTGACACCCAGACCCGTAACAACAATTCGTGGATCACACAAAGAGTTATAGTTAGGAAATCCGACCAGCGTTCCAAAGGCAGTCTTTCCCTACAGGCAAACTTACAAATCTTACCTGTACCTCTTTATAATATTTGTATAGCTTCCTTATACTAATTACAAAATACTTATCCAAAGCAAAACTATCAAGTACCACTCCGAAGAAGGCTGTCACTCCATCGAAGCCGAAGTCTGGAGGCAAGGTATCGCGCACGAAGCTCCCGAATTTCGCAGCCATGCATCAGAAGCAGTTCGACAAGATGGAGTCGCTGAACGAGTGCCAGGAGCGCCGCGCCAAGAGAGCTCGCCAGCTGCTCACGCCGACTGCTCCGCCTGGACTGCTGGAAAGGATCAGCCCTAAGAGTAAGCATAAAGCACATGTATTGTCAACCTTAATAAATAATTTGTTGGGAAAACTATGCTTGTCGGTTCAACCAGAGTGGTACCACTGCCTCATAGAAAAACGGTGGGAAACAGCTTGCGTTGAGAGCCGTCTGAGAAAGGTAGCCTAAAATGTATCCTGTAATTCCCCAATTCTTAAATCCTTAACTCCTGAAAGGTCGCAAACGCACGTATAACTGTGTTGGTCCATGAGCGGCGTCTATTGCGTACCATCAGTTGATTGGCCTGTTCTTTTGGCGACTTATGTTATAATAATTGTGATTCCGTTCTCTGTCATTTGACTTTGACCAAATAATCGTTAACCGATCTCAATTCAAAATCTTTAGATTGATTTTTGACATTATTTGTAGTAGTTTCTATCAAAAATTTACATCAATCCAGAGGTTATCATTTCGGCCGATAGTTGTCTAATGCCAGGAAATAGAAATAACGTACTTACACTTTGATGTCATGGGTTGCGATTCAAGGTCAATAGTGTTCCATTCTATTCCAAGAAACGAGCGTAGGTACTCCTTCTTAAAAGGCCGGCAACGCACAGACCTGTGTCTCGTCTGGTGCTGTCGCCCATAGACAAAGACACCCTCCATGGGCGAAGCTGATCGCTTACCATCAGGTGACTCGTCTGTTAGTTTGCCTTTTATACCATAAAAAAAATTGTCCCACTCTAGGCTAGAGAAATCATTTGATGATTTCCCGTAAAAAACATCGATGATTAAGTCTTAAGTTCTGTTGCTGCTTATAAGTCTTCTTAATGGAATTGAGTTATATTGATTACCACTACTTCTCCTCACCTTATACATACGGCGGGGTTCTATAGGGCTGATGTTCAGCCGGGGTTGCGGGGCAAGCGCAATGAGGCACCGCGACCTCGGCCCAGAGCAGGAGAAGGAACAGGTTGGTTTTTAGTCAGTAAGAGACTGACACTCCCTCCCTCCCGGCCCTGGGCGGGAGAAATCATTTGATGATTTTCCCCTCACAAAAAAAAATAAACATATACCTTGTACATAACAAAGTTTCTAATAAATATTGACAGCACATAAAATTTTATCCATAGCTTATAAATACCTGCGTGAAATAAAAAAATAGCTCGTTATTCACCTCGATAATCCGTATTCATAATTATCGATATCGATTAACTATCGGTGCGTCATCGATGCAATCGATAGTCGATGTCGCCCTACTAGAGGTGCTATCTTATCTCCACAGTGTACACAACACGTGTTACCTATCTCCAGCCGAGTCCACGAATTTTGGGAGGAAAATACAACATGCATATTTATTTATTTTATCACAGAGTTTTAATAATTCAATGTAATAATTTTGACTCATCTAGTTTTTTCCTTATCTAAATTAGTTAACAATAGAAATTAGACTATATTGGTCTTTCATTTAAAATTTAGTTTTGTATGCCAGTATGTTACAATGAACAAACAGTTTGTTAACTTTTAAATTAAGTAAATATTGTCTATATTTTTTTCCAGTAATGGTACTGCTAGGTACTTCGTGTTACATGTAAAAACAACAGAACGGAATATATTAATTTCCTTAAATAAAAGTTATAACAACTTTTGGAAATGTTTTCTCCGTTTTGTAGTTGAGGACAATGTATTTCCCTGAAGTCCGTTGCAAATTGCACTTAAAAACAAAGCTATATTAGCCTGTAGATACTCCAATATTTTAATTTTTTCATTGGATTATCGACTTTCTTACTAAACCATAAAGTTGAAAATATTTACAAGTTATTATTTCAGTTGGCCACTGTATTTAGTTGAAATGATGTGCAAGAAAGTAATGACGTCACCCACTTGTAATACCTCCCCCAGCTCCTTACTAATACGGATGTCGCGTGTTTCAACATCCGGCGAAATTGATTAATTAACCGGATGCCCCCCATTCATCAGCAAAAATATATGCAATTCAGAAGCATATAAATTTGAACCTGCAGAAATCGTGTAACATTAGCTAATGATAAAATATAATAATAATCATTATTAGGGGTTCTAATCCCGTAAACTGAATTCAATCTCTGTATTTGCGGGACGACTTCCAACCTCGTAGATACATATTCGGTAAGAATACGTATCTACGAGGAATAACTATAAAAATATTTGAAAACAAATAATAAATTCATCATCAACTTGTACTGCTGAGCAAAGCCCTCTTCTCACACGGGGAAGGTTAGACCATTAATCACTACGCTTTTTCGGGAAGTACCTGTGTCGCATAGGTCGGGAGCCGACGTCTCAGTGCCACCATTGTGGTGATTGTCGTGACGATACGGCGCTGCTTACCTTGGCGTAGTGCCCAGCTCGGGCCGAGCAGCGCCATGACCTTGTCGCGGCCGTAGGTGTTGCGGGAAATCTCTCTCTTCCGACTGTAGCGTCCACTATGGTCGGGAGCAAGTCAGGGTGGAGTGCCGTCGCTACCTTCTGCGAGGCCGTGATGCTCGCGAAGGAGGCGGCGAAAAGGGAGAGAGAGGCCGCCTCCTCTCCACTCCCTCAGCAGACGCATTAGACGTCGTAGGGTAGCCGACCTGTGGCCACCGTAGGGCGCGGCCTGCGGACGACAAACTCGGGGAGTCTTGTCGTCCGACCAGCAGCAAGCCTCGAGGCGGCGGCGCCGTGTTCTGCGCGCGCCTCATAGTGGAGTCCTGCGGTCGGGGTGACGGGGCCCGCCTGAGCATCATGCGGGCCAACACCCGTCGGGGGGATGCGACGAATGCTTCGGCGATACCCGCCCGACAAATGGGGAATTGAAGGAACACCTGGGTTGGTTTTTAGTCAGTATGAGTCTGACAGTACCCTTCGCCTTTCCCCGAGGGCGGTAGGTCTCCATCAGGATTTTTCAAACTGACATAAAAAAAATTAATCCCTACGCTTGCTCAAGGCGGATTGGCGATTTCAAACTTATAACTAGAAATTAAAAGTCCATGTTTTCTCACGATGATTTCCTTCACCGTATCTCAGTGGAGTCTAAATAATCATAGGAACTACATGTAACTCGGAAAGAGTTACGTTAGTTTTCCAGGTTTTGAACCCGCTCCCTCATAAGAGACGAAACCTCATAAAATAATATATTATTAACCCCAAATTTATCTTCTGATATGAAATCGATGAAATTCCCTGTTTGTTTTTCCACTTAAATTATTAAGATATACAACTTTTATTTGAAAATATTTGCTAAAGATATACAAAATCATCTAAACTGTCGTCTGACGTACTAGCAACTCCTTAAACGCTCTTACCTACTTACAAGATAACTTTATTATGTATGTGCTTTGCCTAAGCCTATATGGGATTAATAATATGACGATGCCATGGTGCTACTTAGGTTCAGTGACCTAATGATCGATGTAACAGCAAGATAACTCCATCATACAATTACAGATATGATCAATATTTTGCCATTTTATGGTATCGGAAAATTTTGAAAGCTATGGTGCGTTGCTAATGGTATTTATCTGTGCGTACTATACTTCAAATGTAAATTATGCTTAGTTTCCTGTTGTTATATTTGCAGGAAATAACTCATATACTTAGATACATATGTACATTTATTTACCTTGTTTTGGAATAGTATTATTTGATGTAAAATAAGGTCATGTCTATTATTACTGGATTTAACATTATGTAATTAAGTTCCATGTAAATAGGGAACAGATTTCAAAAACCAAGTGTGGGAGAGCCATGCTTCGGCATGAATAGGCCAGCTCGACCTACCATGATCCTACGATGCTACGGCCTCACAGAAAACCGGCGTGAAACAAAATTTTCATTGTGTTTCGTCGTGTGAGTGAGGTTACTGGAGGCCCAGTTACTTCCCTATTCCAAATTTCCCTTCGCAACTACTCTGGGTGTTGTAGGTGCTCATTGTAGGCGCCGATTGCTTAGCATCGTATGATAAAGTCGTCTCGTCTGCCACACAAGCTTGTTGTATACAAATAAAAAATGCAAATTCGGACTATACTCCTAATGCCTGATTCTAATTTTAAGTGTGGGAGAGCCAAGCTTAGGCACGAATGGGTCGGCTCGACCGGAGTGATACCACGGCCTCACAGAAAACCAACAACCACAGCGTTGTGTTTCGCCGTGTGAGTGAGGTTACCGGAGGCCCAATCCTTTCCCTCCCCAATCCCTAAAGCTCTAAAACCCTACTCCCTAAAAGGTCGGCAATGCACTCGTAATTCCTCCTCGGGTGTCCATGGGCGGCGCTGATTGCTTACCATCAGGTATTCCGCCTGCTCGTTTGCCGAACAACTACATAAAAAAGGGAACTGATTGCAATTTAATTTTAATTACCAGCTCTAAATGTGTCTATATTTAGTTTAGGTACTGTCCCACTAGCAAAATGTATATGTATTTATCTGAAATTCCACGGAGAGATAGCAGTTATCGAAGATATGAGCTATATTCGTCATCACCATTTTCTCAATATAGATATTGATCGATTATACATCGAATCTGATCGAAATATTCGTAGCTTATGTATTCATTTATTTTATGATGTATGAAATGTTTAATGTTTAATTATAATACACTTATTTTTTACTGTAATACAATATTAAGGCGTCAGTTCTTTATTTAAAGCAAAGCAACACTAATCATTGAATATTTAGAATTCAATAAAAAAATATCAATCATCAATATCAATGACTATGAAATAGAATATGTAATGAAACTTAATTTTATTATTTTTTCAAGAGCACACCAACTAAAATAAGTGGAAGACTTATTTAATATTGTATACAAATCAGAAATAGAAATAACGATATCCGCAAATTATTGTACGTAAGCATAATATGGTAGGTACGTTTAATAACACGCAGATTGTAATATTGTAACTACAAGTTACTGCTACCGAGTTGATACGAGTGCAACAATGTAAATTGTGTAGTTCATGGAGCCACTAACATCGGGACTAAATTACCCAAGTAATCGGATCGTCCCGGCGCATCGCTGGGCCGATATTAGCAACGCGCGTGTGAGAATAGTTGCTCCTCCCTCCTGAGCCATGACTAGGACAGAATGCCGGATGCTCCTCGCTCCCACATAGCTGTGCAAACTAATCATAATATAGGTCATAGAAAATAGATGCACTTGTGCTTTTAACCAAAATATTTTGCATGAAGGATTGTTGTCGCGATCGTCGGCACACCACGACTACATTTGTGTGATGTGTGCCAATACCCAATCCCCAGATTCCCTATTTTTCACTTGCATCTTGCATTGTTATAAGTAAGAGGCGCAGATTGCCTACTAACGATATACCGTCTGATCATTTTCCGATTTGCCCTATCCCCAAAAGTTAATAATTGCTCTTCAACAATATAATTCATTGTGTTATTTATTTCGCAGATAACGTAGAATCACCTAAAGATAAAGATGTCGCTAAACCCAAAGAGAAAATAGACACACCAACCAAGAAAACTGACACTCCCACCAAGAAACTACCCACGCTGGAATCATTACGACCAGGGTTCACCAGATTTGGGTTCAAACTGAACTTGGACGTAAACCCATTCAGTATACCGAGCAAGATAGAAAAACCGAAGGAAAAGGTTATTGAGAAACGCAATGGGGGCATTCCAAAGCCGATATTGCCATCTTTAGCGGGCGCCACCTCCGTACGCCGCGAGGCTGCTAAACAGACAGTTATGAGAGAAAAGTCCTTCACAGAGAGATGCAGCGTGAAGAGAAACGAGAACAGGAGCATTATAAAGGGCGTCAGAACTAACAGGCGATTCGAACTGCAAATGAAGATGAGAAACGTTGAGTAAGATGGCCGTAGGAGGTAATTAGTTATAGTAAAGTTCCCCTCAGGGAGGGGTGCAATTTTAAGGTTATCCTAGTTCTAAGAGGGGTAAAAACAATAAAATTATGTATTAACTAAACCTAAAGTAAATATATAACTGTGACTGAATTGAATACGTGTTATTGTCCTGTTTTTGCATGTTGCACAAGTTTTAATGATTTTCCGTGACCCCAGTTTGGATTTTATTAAACCTATACAAGTAATATTATTGTTAATGTTTCTTATTTAGTTTGTATTGTTTTGTATAATTTTACAGCGTTTTTATAGAGTTTCACAGCTTTACTAATAAGTGCCATATGTGTACTTTAGCACAGTTTTTGTAAAATACTTTCTAATTTCTACTCCTGTACAATAGATTAACTCTTTGTCCTAGGGATGCTGCGTTAAGTAAAATGTCTGTCACGTACGTGGGCAGTAGTTGCGTCGTTTTATGACGCCTCCCCGCCTACGCGCTCCATGCGAAGCGAGGTTTTTACGCAATGCGCTGCCATCCAGGGCAAACTTCGACAGTATTAACAATTTGACATATTTTTAATTACGGATAGACTAAACGTTTGTAATAAGGATTGTTCTAACTACTATCTTAATCATGGTATTGATATTGTATTTAGCCATCTATCAGATTAAACGATCCCACTCTATGTATTGTTGTTTTATTGATAAACCTGATGCCCCCAACTGTATGGCGTCAACTTATTTGATATTCGATCTAGATGTTTCTGCATACTTTTCTGGCGCACATTATGAATGTATGCGTTCAGGTATACATTATATGTACATACATTCATATCTATGAAATGATAAAATTGCTAATCTTACCATGTACGTAAAACGAATAATATCTACACCTCGTCCATACAACAGGAAGTGTTTTAAAATTCTATTAAAATCCTACTACCTTTTTTTGTCAGGGGAAAATCATCAAATCACTTCTCCCACCCAAGGGTAAGGCGCAGTGGCAGACTCTTACTAACTAAAAACCACCCGTTCCTTCTCCTGGTCTGGGCCGAGGCCGCGGTGACTCATTGCACTTACGCAAGCCCGGCTCAACATTAGGCCTATAGTGCCCCGTCTGTGGTGGTCTATAAACTCTTTGAAGCACGCTTGAAAAAAAAAATACTACCTATTGAAGTGATTTAGTATTTATTTTATTAGACACTAAAAGTTACAATAGAAAGCATTTCCTAATAAGTCAGTCTGATGACTCAATAAATTAATCATGCTTAGTTTGCAAAACTTAACGTGACTTCTGTCACATAGGTACTAAAAGTTACCGTTCTAATTCTACTGGTAATTGTCAATACAATTTTTAATTAGTAATGTTTACCTACATTAGAATATCCATTTTACAGAGTATATTTAGTATCTAGTCCTAAATACTCGGACAGAAGACGAAAGTGTCTGGAATTTCTATGCTCCTGCTGAATGGACCTTTACCGACGACTTCCAGATCCGCGAGTTGTTGGTGTTCAGCTACACTCAGTGGCTGCTAACGTCCTTTATCAGCTCATCTGTTCACCTGGGGTGGTGGTCCCTTAACGCACTTACGAGTAAGTGCGTTACCTAAGTTGCTCACATTCGAATAATATTTTTGTTCCATCGGTCGTTAGTTCTGTGTGAACCGTTTAGATACCTCTGCTGTACTTTCTTCCAGCTTAAGCTGTTTATCCATGGGTCCTCCTTCCTATCCTTATGGATATAAAGCATACTTTATTCTTATTCTAGTTACCAAAGCATTAGCTTTCTATTTCTACGGCACGGTCGCGTCACTGAACAAACAATAAAATCAATATGAACTCAGAACAATAGCTACCTTACCTTTATCTACAGGCCTAACGTTCACGTTTCGCAGCTGCGACTCAGGTTCTCACATCGAAAATCTAGATTAGGTATCCCACTTAAGTACTAAGCATCTATTGTAATCTTAATTACCGTATTATGTAATTACTCGAGCATGTAGTTACAATGTTGGTGAGAAAAATTGTTAACACTAACGCAATGTTTTTGTTATAGTCGAGTGGTTGGTTTCAAGTGCGACTGCTGAGCAAAGGGTCTTTTCCCGGGTTCCCGGTACCTATTAACAGTATAATAATATAGTGTTCCAATTACAAAAAATAAACCTCACGCCAGTTTATGAGTGCCATAAGTGGCCAGCCATCTCTTGAATGCAGATGTTTGCATCTCGACCCTTTTCTATTCTGTTTGCGCCTTCGGACAACTCACAGCTCCTTAAGTAAAATAGATTAATAAACTATTTTTTATACTGACAATCCAAAAATAAATAGTAACGGGCCCAGTTCAGTGCAGTGAAGTGTAAATTGTAACTAACTTGATTACTATAGAACTATTGTTATTTAAAAATACTATAAGTAGATAAGTATCTACTACTAGGTACTTTGAGTGACTTATACAGTGCGATTCAAATTAATAAAAATGGACAACGCAAAGTTGAAACGGAACATTGAACAGTTTAATGGTGAGAGATATGGTGTTTGGAAATTAAGAATTCGTTGTGTATTAAGTGAACTTAATCTGCTTCATGTGATCGATGAAGAATATCCTTACCAGCCTAACGCCGAGTGGACAAAAAGCGACAACACAGCTAAAAATATTCTGATAGAGCATATAACTGACAATTTATTAAGTCTAATTACCGAAAAACTTACAGCTAAGAGTATTTTTAGTCAATTAGACTCGATATATGAGCGGAAAAGTATATCTTATCAGTTAACTTTGAGAAAACAACTTTTAAGGATGAAGTTCGAAGAAGATAATTTAATGAAGCATTTTGAAAATTTTGATGATTTAATATGTGAATTAATATCGGCGGGCGCGAAGTTAGACGAAACTTATAAAATAAGTCATTTATTATTGACACTGCCCGACTGTTATGATTCTGTTGTTGCTGAGATTGATACTTTGGATGAAGAAAATGTAAACTTAACATTTGTTAAAACGAAATTATTAAATCACGAAATCAAATTAAACATTGAAAATGAAGATGCAAGGACTAACAAATACACAAATGCGTCATATCGCCAAAATTTACGACGTACAAAATTTAATGGAAATATGTTTAAAAATATGAAATGTGCCCATTGTGGACGGAAAGGTCACTTGATAAAAAACTGTTATTATAACACGGTGGCTAAGGGACGGACCCACAGTCTGAGAAATGCAGAAAAACATCCACAGACAGGCAGTGAATAACCAACCAGCTGACCTATAATATATCTAACTAGACATTTTTGAGCTTATGTATAGAAACCTCGTTTGGGGTCCGAAGCCATTCAAAAATTTTACGATAAGCTTTTTGTTCAATAAATATCTATTACTTATATATCTATGTTATTTTATTTACTTATTTTTGCTAACACATTGATACAGATTAGATACCTACTGAAAAACTTCTTTGCCATTGTATCTAATTGAAAAAATCAATGAATAGAACTTCAAACTATTTTAACAAACTCAGTAAAAAAATCAATATGAGTGTGAATGTAAATTTGTCACTAAGCTACTTGAAACTTAACTAAACTTGACTTTTAACATGCCCCTGCTCCACTTAAAACTAAAAATTCGTGTGAAACGAATCCCCCTTGAAAAAATCTTATCTTGTGTTTGGATTATGAAGTAAGAGTTTCGAAAGTCGATCAAACTCGAGTCGTATTTAAATGCTTTAAAATAATAAAATATATCTAGTATGTGCGTACCTCTCTAGATTTATCATAATAAAAATAAAGTAACTTATGTAAAGTTTATAGGAACTATAGGAAGGTATTCCCAAATGAAGGAAGGTGTGTTATAAGTAGGCTTGGACCTACCTTACTTAAATTTAAACTTAAAATTAAATGTTTATCTGGTAGCCATCACCTTACACCAAGCGTTGCACCGTAGCAACTCCGGGGTTTGTCTATGGAGAGGAAACTATAGGTAGGTACATAAGGTTAGGTAAATACCTAGGGATTCTATTAAAATATTATGTATTTTGAGGGGAGGAAATCATTAAATGACCTCGCCCTGGATGGGGAAAGAGAAAGTGTCAGACTCATATACCTACAGACTAAAAACCGCCCCATTCCTTCTCCTTTTCCGGGCCGCGACTGCGTAGTGATATAGATATCTTTGCTTACCCGATGAGGACCCATAGGACATACAAATACCTATCTACTAGGTATCTGCTTACTTAAAGACAAGACCTAGAATTATTGCACAACAATTAGAATTGCAAGCTGCAGCGACTGCATAGTTCCCTCGTGGGAGGAGCACGTCTATCAACCGTTTATCATCCATTGTTATTTATCTATTTATTGAAGCTGACTATTGTTATGCGTCGTATTGCCGACGAGACTAGTTTTTATCAGGTGTGTGATTATAACATACAAGGTCGCGAGGTATATTGAAAAAATAATTAACTAAAGCAACTACTATTTCTATTTCTATCGATTTACAAAGTAGAATTAGGTATGGCTGTTATGCCTAGTCTAAGGTGGGAACCAAAACTATATATAGGAACATTGTATGTATCTATTTGTAGATGTAAACTAAGCTTTTAAGTGTGGCAGAGCCATGCTTCGGCACGAATGGGTCGGCTCGACCGGAGTGATACCACGGCCTCACAAAAACCGGCGTGATTCAACCATAGCGTCGTGTTTCGCCGTGTGAGTGAGGCTACCGGAGGCCGAATCCTTCCCCTCCCCCAATCCCTAAATCTCCAAATCCCTAATCCCTAAAAGGTCGGCAACGCACTCGTAACTCCTCCGTTGCGGGTGTCCATGGGCGGCGCTGATTGCTTACCATCAGGTAATCCGTCTGCTCGTTTGCCGACCTATTACATAAAAAAAGCTTTAAGTAGGCTTTTTGACGGAAGAAAGTATCTACATTACTCAATACATTACTACATTACTTTGCAGGAGCGAGACGAATTATCAGACCCTTACTAAAAATGACTTCGTTCCTTCTCCTGCTTCGACACGGGGCCGAAGTACAGTTTTACTTTAGCACCCGCAATCCCGGCTGAGCTTACTTAGAGCTTAGGTGATAGTTGAAAAGGGATCGTAAATAAAGCGGCGAGAATATGACTACAATCAGATTTATTTAATGTTCTCAACATAGAAGCACAGCATGGTAGGTGCACGTCGGTCCTCCACGTTACTACGAGTGTCGTCTGTGGCAACTTGACTCTTAGTTTATTTTATAATAGTTACATTCATTGCAAAGTGATTACGCAAGCTGAGTCGACAAAAGAAAAACAACTACAAAAACGTCAATTGTGCAGAAGATAGAATATTAAAAGACCAATTACAATTAGCTGTCGTAAGAGTCATTTAAAATAGCTTAGTAGATACAGATACAAGATTACAACATCAAGATCATGGAACATTATCTTATTCGCTTTAATTATTTACAAATTGTACATTTTTTTACTCAGGTATTCTAAATTTAAATACACCACCATAGATGCGAAAAGTCAATGTTTTAATTTTACACACCTGTATTTATAGACAAAGGTTTTTCATTTTCTGCCAGATGTCGGCCTACGTAATCACTGTGCAACTTTTTTTATAAAATTACCCCGTGTGCACTTTACAAACTCACTGAAAATCAAACATTCATAAACATTAAACACTTGTACTG